CACCACCCTTGAAGGCAGCTCATTCCAAAAGCCAACCACCCTGTTTGAAAAGTAATACTGTCTAAACTACAGACATCGTCTACGCTGCCAAAATTTGAACTTATGCCCCTTTGTCCTATTGTTTTCATTTCTAAAAAAGTTTGATGGGTCTACATTACCAATACCCCTAATAATCTTGAACACCTCAATCAAACCCCCCTCACCCTTCTTCTCTCCAGAATAAATAAGCTTAGAGATTTTAGTCTCTCCTCATAGGACAATCCCACCATCCCAGGTACCATCCTAGTAGCTCTTCTCTGAACCTTCTCTAACAATTCAATGTCTTTCTTGAGGAAGAGAGCCCAAAACCGTACACAATACTCTAAATGAGGTCTTACAAGTGATCTTTAAAGTGAACCAATAATATCCCTTGTCTTGTATTCAATATTTTTATAAATGCTACTTAAAATCCTATTGGCCCTATTGCTAGCTACAATACGCTGTTTAGATGACTTAAGTGATTTTGAATCACAACACCAAGATCTTTTTCTTCAACGACAGTATTTAATGTCTTCCCATTTAAATTATAACAATAATTTGAACTGTGAAAACCTACATGCATCACCTTACATTTTAGATAGTTAAACATCATCTGCCACGTACTGGCCCCAAGCATCAAATGTTCTAAATCTCCCTGTAGGTCTGCAGCATCTTTGATACAGTTAGCCAACCCAAAAATCTTAATGTCATCTGCAAATTTCAAAATTTTGTTAGTCATTCCAGAGTCAATATCATTAATATAAATCACAAACAGCAGAGGAAGCAGCACAGAGCCCTGAGGCACACCGCTTGTAACTGTGATCCGGCCAGATCTAACTCCATTTATTACTACTCTCTGCCTTCTACTCTCCAGCCAATTTTCTATCCAATTTAATAAAATTTCCCCCACACCCACAAGGGCTAAAATTTATGCATATCCACACCTGATTTAGAACTAAAACAAATAACCAGAGAAAAAGCTTTCATTAGTCCCTGTTGCTCATGTGGCTACTCTTAAACTAATGGCAGGATTGACTGCCAGTTATAATGCCTCCATAGTTTAAAGTTTTTGGTGGCACATCTTAAGGACCAGCACCAAGAAGAGGGGTGGGTCACTTACAGAGTTGTAACAAGTATCTCACACCCAATAATTTAAAAAAACCGGGAAAACTACATTTGTGTGAATGTTTTATAATAATGCGCTATCATGTGATATATTTATCAATGTGCAGTGATGTGTAATGGTGATGGATACAAGTTAACTAATTTCGGTTACCTTTTCCAAAATCTGCCCCTCCCCAAATAACTAGGTGTCCCCCATAGCGCTCATGCTGCCGCTGAGCCGAGACTGATATCGCAACTCAAACATTTTGGTCTACCGATGGAGATATAAGTTACTAGGTCATGCCAATGTCAAAGGACAAAATACCGATAAAAATTAGCAAATATACATAAGTCATAAACATATATATATATATATGTGTGTGTTTTGTGTATTACAAAGAAATTCTGAAGAAACACAAGCTAATTAACTTTGTAATTAAAATGTGTGTGAGTGTGTATTTTTTGTTCAGTATTATTATCTTTTAGCAAACTGACATTAAGTTTAACAAAATAAAGAAGGCACTGTAAGGTTATTGAATTATTACTCCTGACACTTTAAACAAACTAAGTCTTACAAGTGAAGGTGCAAGTTGGCTTCCTTATTATTTTAACACTCCAAACACAACATAGCATGCTTGTTAACATTGTTAATTAGCATTTATATCACAATAAATTAAGTTAGCTTCCTTATTCTTTTAACACATCAAATACAACATAGCATGCTTGTTAACATTGTTAATTAGAATTTATATCTAAGTTAGTTTCCTTATTACTTTAACACATCAAACACAACATAGCATGCTTGTTAACATTGTTAATTAGCATTTATATTACGTACGATTCCACTTACCTGAGTGATATCTACTCTCGTGCCGTGTAAGTCTGCGTTGATTTCGCCGTTTCGCTCGAGTAGATGGACTAGCGGCACCAGCAACAACAGGTAGCGCTGTAATCGAATGCCCAACAATAAACAAAATAAAGCATTAACAACACATACAAAGTTAGTACATAACTGAGATCCACATTTCTATCAAATTTATTTAGTATTGAAGAAGAAAACAAGACGATAAAACATATTTAAGTCTATATATATAACTTTAAAAAATATATATTTAGGGTTAGATTTAAAACGTGAGTAAATTATGAGATACATCATGAAAAAAATGCTAAATTAATGCATACAAGGAGGACCCAACTTCGTGGCGAGCTTTAAATGTGTCTTAGGCCTAATACCACCGAAGGCTAAATTAATGTATACAAGGAGGACCCAACTTCGTGGAGAGCTTTAAATGTGTCCTAGGCCTAATACCACCGAAGGCTAAATTAATGTATAC